TGCTCACTGATTCTGCTTTCCTCCTGCAATCGGCATCATAGTGTGTGTTTTGTGAGATGCAGGAGGACTTTGTGGATTGGTGTCAGACATATGGGTTAATGTTGGACTTGTGGGCTTGGGCAACACTGGGTTGGAATGTTTTCTTGATGTGCACTTACCCTTTATATAAAACTCTCTCTTATACATATGAGTTTCTGTGGATTTGTTTCTCTAATGTACCCAGCCTAACACAGGCTTACTACTTCCATAAAGAGTAACAGTCCTGGAAACCCACAGGGGCAGTTCTACCCTGTCCTATACGGTTGCTATGACACTATGCCCCTGTGTGCTTCTGAGTCTATAGCTCTTTATGGGTGCACATAGCCTCCTCTTTTTCCTCGGGGACTGGGTGCTGGCTTCAAACTGCTAATGTTGGAGTTAGCAGCCCACTCTATAACCCGACTCTGCGACCAGCAGTCCAGAGCAAAACGAGGCTGTTGATCCCCTTGAGGGAAAAGAGTCTGGAAATGAAAAGAAACTGATCATTTCTACCCTAGAAGATGGGTCCTCCCTGCCATTCGGTTCATTCTGACTCACAGCGAGCCTGGAGGGCAAGGTAGAACAGCAACCCCTGTGGGTTTCCAAGACTGTAACTCTTTACAGGAGGAGAAAGCCTTTCTCCTGCAGAGTGGGAGGTGGTTTTAAACTGGTAAATGTCCAGATAGCAATCCAACGCCTAACCACTATGCCCTGGCAGAGATATAAACCGGCTGGCAATTCTTCGTGCACAGCCGATTTTGAGGCGGGTTACCATCCACAAGTTTAAACCCACCCATCAGCTCCCCAGAAGAAAGGCCTGGTGACCCGCTTCCTTAAAGATGACAGCGTAAGGAACCCCACGGGCAGTTCTACTCGGCAACGCGTGATATCCCCATGAGTCTGGGAGTCAACACCACAGCCGCTAACCCCCCAGGACTCACTCACTCAACCCACTGCCATCGAGTGGGGTCTGACTCACGGACAGACCTTCAAGGACAGGGAAGGACTGCCCCTGGGGGGTTCTGAGACTGGATCTCTTGACGGTAGTAGAGAGTCTCCTCTTTCTCTGGAGGGGCAGCTGGTGGTTTCGAACTGTTGACTTTGCAGTGAGCAGCCCTATGCGCAACCACTAAGATACCAGGCCTCCCACCACAGGGATACAAAGTCAACAGCTACAATGACAACGGTGACGTTGTATGCCTTGATTGGCTTTGTCGGGAGCCCTGGTGGCGCTGTGTGTGAGGCTGCTAACTATAACTGTTCAAGCCCACCAGTTGCTATGAGAGAAGAAAGTGAGACCGGCTTCTCCCATAGACACTCACAGCCTTGGAAACCCTAAGGGGCAGCTCCAGTTAGACACTAGAGTAGGCTAGCCTAGCTGCCATCATGTCCACGCTGACTCACGGTGTCCCAAGAGGACAGGACACAACGGCCTCCTGTGAGTTTCTGAGACCACACCTCTCTATGGAAGTAGAAAGCCCTGTCTTTCTCCCTTGGAGCAGGCTGGTGGTTTCAAACTGCTGACCTCTCGGATCCACACCCCAGCTCCTAACCACTATGCCACCAGGGCTCCTCGGACACTGTGGGTGGGTGTTTCGGTTTGGGGTTTTTTCCCTCAGGTTGTGACAGAGTCTATTGAAATAGACCGGATGCATCGAGTCAAGTCAAACGCCTTCTCTCCTTTGACCTTCAACCCATCTCCTGGGAGTCCCTCTGTCTCCTGGCTGTGAAATGAGGGGGAACCTTTACAGCTTCACGTGGCCCCGAGGATTAGATGGACTAATAAGCTTAAGAGGCTTGAAATAGCCCTGGATACCGGTTAGAAGCCTTGGGGACAAAACAGTTCAGTGCCAGACTCTTCATCAAAAGGTTGACTGTTCAGACCCACCACCAGGGGAGAGCGAGAAGGCCCGCCTTGTCTGCTTCCTTAGAGGGGGCCCCCAAACCCCGTGGTTCGGTTCTACTCTCTCATGTGGGGTCTAGAAGTCAGAATTGTTTCAACAGCACCAACCACGACATGAAGCGCTAAAGCTCTAGGTGAGGATTCTTTTTATTTGCAAACAGATACGCACACGCACACAAGAATGCTAGGATTTTTTGCATTTAGACTTTTGCCTCAATGTGGAAGCTTGCTCAACAGCTTGCCTTCAGGCCACCAAGTCAAATGTGGTGCAGAGCGACCCTATGGGACAGGGTAGAAGGGCCCCGGGAGTTTCCCAGACTGTACCTGTTTCCGGGAGTCGAAAGCGCAGTCTTTCTCTCTAGAAAATCTTATCTTCCTCCTGCGGAGTGGCTAGTGGTTTTGAACTGTTGAACCAATGGGTAACCTACTACAGCACCAGCGCCCTGGGAGCTTCCAACATGCGCCCCCTGCCATTAAGTTGATTGCAGCTCAGAGTGACCCTGCAAGGACTGAGTAGACCGGCTCCCAAGAGCTTCTGAGACTGTAAGTCTTTACAGGAATGGCCAGCCTTGATTTTGCTCCCGAAGATCAGCCGGTGGGGTCCAACTATTGACTCAGAAGCCAGAAACCCAGCATGTAACCCCCTGCAGCAGCAGGGCTCCGGCACAACTTAGGCTTCCTCCCGGAGAAGGAAATTGCAGGATACATGCTATGTCACATCAGTGCATCAAGATGCTATGGGATCACTAAGAGGAAGAAGATTACGCCCTATGAACTGATGTTCAAAGAGCTCTAGGATGTTGTTCCACGGACAGTCCGGTCTGAAAGGCTGCACATGCAAGTCCTAGGCAAAAGGTTAGCTTCTCAAACCCACTCAGAGACACCTCGGG